CCCATTCAAAGTGGGCTGAAGTAACAGACACTAAATGCCAAACTCTTAAAATTGCACGTTCACAAGTAAGTTTCTTTAGGCAAGTGCTATCTAAAAGTCTTATTTTTAAAGAAATCTTAACTATTTAATTTTATTTAGATGCAGAAGGAAGATTTATCTTATTTACCACCACCAGTAAAAAGCAGAGGGAACAAAGAGTATAAAGGTCAGGGTACCAAGTCTTATCTCCTGTCATTAGCTATCACAAAGCATGAACTCAACTGAATTTTCCTGATACGGACTACCAACTCAAAGAGACATATTGTATTTCCCATTCTGCAGACTAGTATCTGCTGCCACTACCATAAACCTTCCCCAAAGCAAAGGTTTTGAAACTACACTGATCATCTACCCACTTTCATGACTCTATGAACCCCATTGCAAGCCTTTATTTGAGAGCCACAATCCACACAAGTTTAGAGTGCACAGGAGTTCCAGAAATCCTTCACAGGCAGGAGGTATCAGTGGTTCTCCAGGGGTCTTGTACTCTGTTGTGCTATATGACCACCCTTTGATATGCAGCTGGTTCCTGGGGCAACACAATGACATCTTTACCAGAAGCTCCTTGCAGATCAGCAAAAAATTATTAAATGGAATTTAATCAAAAAAACACCAACCGTTTGAGGGGCCACATCTGGATACATCTGGTGTATGCACTGCCTGTATCGCAAAACTTCACTGTCTTGAGCAATGTGAAAAGCTTGCATCAGCTAAAATTTTGAAACTCTCAGAATGATGGATTTGGACGTAAAATACAAGGAACAAGTATTTGCCAGCCAGGTAGGTTAGACTGTATAAACTCAGCATGAGTCCCAAAGCCAAACTAGAGACCACATGCACAACAAAAGCCATACCATAAATTTGTAATTTCTTCTTTTAGCTGTAAAAGTTCCTAGAAAAAAACCACTTGGGTTTTAATGCATATTCTACCTGAACTCTTCCAAAAAGAAGTGAAAAGATACTTTTAACTTGGATCAGGACACCTTGTCATGCTTTAGTATGATTAATTCCCTAAGAGATGATTCCTGATAAAATAGCTACTTACTAACCAAAGAGACCATCCCTGCTAACAGAAGTGAAGAGCTTGCTTCATCCACCAGCCATTGACAGTAAGTTCTACCAGCAGTTTCCTTTAGCATTCAGGTACTTCTGTTGATCTGAGAAATCCTCTGCATTAGCATGTAAGTATGTGTCTGTGTATGTATATGATCTCTCTTGCTACATGCACACATTTTATATTATCTATTAAACTTCTTCCAAAACGAAGCCAATACATGTGAATAATTCTGCAAATAAACTTGGTGAATCTCTGTTTCAACTCCCACTTAGATTTCTCGAAAGCGAGAAACTAAAGTCATGGCTTTCAATTCATCTTTTTTACCTCCTACAAGAGGTGTGAGTTCATATAGTACACTGAAGCCTGCTGACAAGTCTTTAGTCTTCACCTAACCCTCCTTTGCAGCCCACAGACTACTGAATCCACAAAGCAAATTAAACCCACTGAAATTACTATCTCCCATTAACACCAGCTTTCAAGCATGTAAAGAATGGTTCAAGTCTTTGGTGTAAGCAGCTGCTTACTGCAAAAATTGGAGTACAAAACTGGAAAGTAGCTGGCTGAAATGTAAAGCTGCACTGAGCACAATCCTTCTTACCTATGGAGAAGGAAGGTTTGCTCAAGTCCTCTCTACCTTGCTCTGCAGGAAACATAGGAAGAGCAAAGAGATGGGAAATCAGATTGTTATTCAATTAGCACCAATGTTTCACTTCTGTAGTCCCTGTTCTACCTGGAGTTTGTCTTGCAGTTCAGGTATAACTGCTCTTCCTTGCTGATTATGCTTTCTTATTACTATCTAACTAGAATGCATTTACTTAGATTCAAGTTTGCAACAGAATGCTTTCAAGAACACTACACAAAGATGCTTTGCTTGATTTAAGGCTCGGTTTCTCAGAATATTGCTATAGAGTTTGTGTCTACAGCCACTTGCTGTCCAGATGAACAGTACCTGCGATACTTATCTTGAGCTATTTAAAAATATTCCAGAGTAGTGATTTCAAGAAGCTGGAGAGTAGACTCCACTGTAATTATTACACAGTAATCAGAACATCAAGCAACAAGGTTAGTTAATAGTGTTTATGCTAGTCTACAATTTCCATCATGCTTGGTTCTAGTACTGATTTACAGCTTCTGATGATGCTGAAACAGGCAAAGAAAGTCCAAACACTGCAGCCCGTTATTCAACCATGAAAATACAAGAGATGCACTCTTCCACCTGTAGCAAAATAGAACTTCAGGCCCAAAACCTGGAGAAAGATAAAGTTCTCTACTTATCTACCAGACAGATGAATAGATGTAATGCTGGCAAGGAGTGCAGGAGCATAGCAAATTGGTCATTCCTTTCACACATTTCAGAAATAATTCACCTTCACAGCCAGTCAGAGGGAGTAAAGGACAGCTACAATTCCTTACCACAATGCTGACCAGTGCATAAAACCGAAGGTTTATGATCAGTCCCTTCTCCAGCCCCTCCTACTGCTGAGAACACTACAGGCTTTCCACAGCTTTTGCAAGTCATGGTGTTTCCATAAACAACACAACATGGTATCCATAAGGTCTGTGTATTTTTGTAAATCCAGCCCTGATCCACTGCTTCTCTTACGTTCTAAAGTAATGATGTATGCTGCTCTACATCAGACTATATTTAATTGTTATCAATGCTGTCACTCCAGAAAAAAGAGCCATGGAAGTTTTCACCAGCCATAAAAGGGAAATGAATGGCTGTACTGCATTTAAGTGTCAAATTTGTAAAGTGACACAAATTTTCAAAGTCCCCTCCAAGTGAAAACCACCTAGAGTTCTGAAAACTTACAAAAAATAAAATAAAAAATAAAAAAAAAAGACTAAACAACAGGGGCAAGCCGTATAAAGATATTCCATGTGACACTCCTTTTGCAATAATAATTTTAAATAATGGAACCAGGCTACACAGAAAAGAGTTCTATGATTTAAAATGGAAAGCTTTCACCTTTCATTTACAAAGTTTCCTGATAATACATAGCAAACATGAAAATAAGCTTTCCGAGATCTGCCTGTGGATCAGGGTATGGGGTTAACGACTGATACAAACATAGGAAAACAGTTTTTAGCATTTTAAAACTTTTTAAAGCTTTAAGATGTGCTCAGCAGAACATTTAAGACAAAGAACAAGGTCCCAATTCACAGGCAAGTATCAAGTTTTGAGTGTTACGCAAACTCCTGATACTTATGAAGTTGCTGGGAACTTCATGATATCAAACTGGCTTAGTCTTATGAATTGCTACAGTTTTAAGTAACTTTGGTATTTATGGACAGTTACAGTTTGATACTTTCCCCTATATCTTTTTAGCAAGGTGGCTTGCTTCAAGTGGGAAGAAAATTCACACACAAAAATCATCAGACTTGTCCCTGGTAAATTCATGTTTGTTAGAGGTCTTGTAGTTCAGAAGACTAGCCTTGCTCATACTACTATATTTGTTCAAATTTCTTGTTCAAGTTTCTCCTCTCACCTGAAGAGGCCTTTTTTTTTTTTTTTTTTTTTTTCAAATAACCAGTAGAAGAAACTCCAAATTTGTTTGCTAACTGGAACAGTATCAACTTTATTGGAAGCAGAAATCCTCAAAAATTTTTATGTACTAGAGATTACAAATTATTCACAAGATTAAAAGTTCACTGTCTTTCTAGGACATTCCTCTATATAACAGGAAGCCTGACATAAAAATATACAGAAGTTATTAAAGCTTATTTAGTTTTACTGTGCACTGATTCCCTTGTAATTTGCACCTGAAGTCGCTTAACCACTTCTTTCTTCCCCTTCTTCCCACTCCATGACATACTGTTACGTGCAAGCTTAATGGCCAGCACGTGTTGACTGATCAGCTGGCTATTACGTTCTTCTTGCATTTCTTCACTTAAGGCAATAATTTAAATCTCTCTCTACCCAACTGGAACTTTCCATAAAGTCTGCAGAACATAGTTTTCTTCATGACCCTCTGATTGACAGAATCAGCTAACTGGTTCAATAGGCTGTGATCACAAAGAAAGGCAGAAAGACAGATGGGTAAACTAACAGCACAATCACAACCACCTCTTAGAAGAGAAGTTGAAAGCCACTTTTTATTTGCGAGTTTACTTTGACTTCTTAAACTTTCAGCATTCATGATATTTCTGGTTTTAGAAATCTAAGCTTTCTAGTGCAGAAGGGACTTCTTAAACTTAGCACTGTTCTAGAAAGAGAACTTAATTCCACTCCTACAAATTGGCTGTCATCCTGTATGGATGCAGAGAAGTTCTAATCTGGCTCTTCCAAACGTGGGAACACTCTGCACATGCTAGAAGGCTAGCATTCAATGTTGGAGGACTGATTTTTATTTTTATTTTTTAAATTAAAAAAAAAAAAATCAAAACAGCTGGAACACTGTGCTTTCACTTCAGAAAACAAAGTTAACACTTTCAGTTATACTGCTCTGACAGCTCTAAAGAAGGAAGAAACATTAAGTACTCTATATCCTGCTCCACCCTAGTTAGGGTTTTATACAACACATCTTATGCATGTGTTCCTTGCACTTTATAGACAGTAGCTTTGTTTTAATGTTCTAATCCAAGGTTTCAACTTCTGACACTCCAGATGTATTCCCGCCCCCCCCCCCAACACCAATACTATTCTGTTGGATGCTGACGTGGTTTTAATACTATTTGAGCTTTGTTATGTAAGGTGTATACAAGATCATTACAATTCTTAGCTGAAACGACGTGAATGAAATAAGCAGATTAAGCACCTGTAAGTAAGCACATCCAGTCCTCCTAACTATGGTCTGTTTGCTGACCAGGAAGTTTGGCACCAAGTTAAAATATAAACCAGTTTTATTGAAAAAAATATAGGAGAATATATAGTCAAGAAAAACTGAAATGAGCAAGCACTTACCTTGAGTCTCCGCTACTGTTTCTTATGCTTTCTTCATCACTGTGCCCATTCATTGTAAATATTAAGAAGTTTAAAAGATAAATAAAAGTCCACTCAGGTTACAAGGTGGATATCAAGAATCCACTTCTTGGTACTCTATATCTTTTCCAGGTGATGTGTTTGCTCTAGTGTTCTCTGCAGGTATTCAAGATTTCTCCCAAAATACCTAAAATAGTAAAGGAAAACAATAACATAATTTTAACGTAGGTTTGCAACTAAAAAGGTATCAAGAATAACGTGGTCTTTCACTAACACTGAAAGGAGGCATCATGTTTGATGTCATGTTTTTAACTGAAAGTAGCTTTTTGAGTGTTACCTGTTCATGGCTGATCATTTTAATCACCATTTTCTTGCCTGAAAAAAAAATATAAAAATCTTTCCTGATGTGTATAAAAGCTTGAAAATTTCTTCTGGAGACAAGACGAGGTCTTTTTACTAGTTACACTTAAAAAAAATTGAAAGAACTAATGAAATACACAAAAAAGCATGAAAGTAAAGATCTGTCTAGCTTTTTGTTCAGCTGCAGCTGGGTCCCAGCATACAGAATATTATACTATTTCATGCAACTTTTCATTGATGGTGCTATAAAGATGGAAAATTCTGCTGAACCACTAACTGCAGAATAGGAAATGTTAGAGAAATTACATTCTATTTGGCATTGTAGAGTGAGGAAAACAGCTTACTGCATGTCTGTACTACACCTTGTGGCTTAACTTTTGCCATAGTACTGACTTCAGGACAAAGTAGATGGAAATTTTGAAGAGAAACTGCCTACCTGAACACATATGTAAAAACCATAGATATCAAAGTTCCGCTAAGTAAAGCGTATTTCATGCACAAAACATTGTGGAAACACTTCCAGATACACACATAATGCTTACATCCAGTTGTAGGTAGAGGCAGGAAGATAAAAACTGTCCCCATTAACTCCACTAAATCAAACCAGCAAGATCCCACATAGGGAATAATCATTATTTCACATCCAAAAGCATCCTCAATCAGATCACTGCAGTATCTGATGCTGCTAGAGAAAGTTTAGGCTCACAGTAAATGGCCTGCGCGTATAAACTCACCGATAATCAGATAAAGAGCAGCGCCTCACAGATTTAGTGGTGTGAAAGCGATTAGGGGCTCGACTGCCGGCTACGAGGTGCTCTCCTCTGACACACAACAACCCAACCCAGAGCTGGCGCTCCTCGGGTTGCTGGCGGCGGAACGGGGTCGGGAGTGCCCTGAGCCCAGGCACCACCTCAGACACCCGGGCCGCTCCGGCCAGCAAACAAAGGCGATGAGGGAGGGGAAAGTGATAGGAAGGAGCCCTGAAACCCCGCAGGGGCCGCCAAGCGAAGTCGGGGGACCCGGTGGGGGCTCCCCGCGGCCCGGCGCCGAGGCCGCGCTCTGCGCCGCCCCCGGCCTCAGGCTCCCCGCCGCCCGCCCGGGCGGACAAACACCCCCTCGCCTCCGGGGCCGGCACCCTCTGCACCCCGGCGAACACCCCGAACAGCGGCGAAACTTGCTCCCTGCCGCCCGCTTCCCGCTCGGCGGCGATTCCAGCCCCAACCGTCCGCACCGCGCTCCCGCGGCCTCCCACGGCCGCTCTCCCTCTGCCCACCCCCGGGGCGCTCCCGCGGGAGCCCGGGCCAGGGCTGCCTCCCGCCCCCGGAGACGGCCCTCCGCTAGCGGCGCGGCCTGCACAGGCGCCGCTGCCGGCCAAGGCTCCCTGGCAGCGTCTCCAAGGCCGCCGCTGTCCTCCATGCTCGCTTCCCCCGGCGCCCCCCATGGCCAGAAGAGAGCCACGGCCCCTTCTCCTGCCTCCCGGGCGGCTCGACACTGGCTCCCCCCGCAGGAGCC